TCTCTGAGCTAAGATGGAATAGGTCGCTTCTCGGCTCTCTGAGCTAAGATGGAATTAGTCGCTTCTCGGCTCTCTGAGCTAAGATGGAATTTATTAAATGTTATTAAATGTTAAAAATTATTTTTGAACGTATCCCACACAGCTTACTTTATTTGGGATATACTGAGGAATTCTAAATTATCCCAGACTTTTAAATATATTTTTCCTGAAAGATTTGTATATTTAAAATAATGGTTTTTTTCCAAAACTTAATTTTTGTAAATAACAAACACATTGTACAGAATTTCGAAATTTGTTCGGAGCAGCAAAAGGCTGAGTCGCGGCAAAGAGCGGATTGTCCAATAAATAATATTTTTGTTTCTCAAAAATAGTTTTGGAGATTCTTGATATCGCCGATTCCAATTCTGAACATACGAGATTTATTATTGATAATATGAATGAATATTATGTGTATGCTCATGCAGAAAGCTTTCCTTCACCATTACCCAGAGAGCGACGTGAAAGTTTGTAGTTCCTTTTTGACATTTTAATTATTTTTGCTTTTTTTTCCTAAGTAATTTTTCATATCTTTTAATTCTGCGTTAAGCAAAAGGAGAGAGCATTACGCAAACAGTAAGTTAGAGTCAGGTTAGGTAGCACAAATCACTATTGGACAGCAGTCTGGATATTCACGGCCCACTCGCACGTTTGAAATGGTAGCTACTGGTGAGTTTGGACAATAGTAAAAAGTACCAGGGCAACTGGAAAGAAACGGAATAGAATTAGGTTTCGAAAGGATGAGACGATAGAAAATTTATATTTGCATTCACTTTATCGTAAAATACTGCAAATGTGCGAATTCCAAATCGAAATGATCTTAGTTATTTGAAATATATTAGAAATGGATTGGAAAAGAAGCATACTTAGAAATGTTTATAATAAATAACTGTTTATGCACAAAATGCATTCTTGCAATATATCACGCTTATATCTTTACTTTAAAGCTTGTAACCTCACGGGTTTGTTAGTAGCAGTATCATATGAAATAGACCGTGTGCTAGACATTATGTAGTATCTCTGAGACATGAAATAAGTATCACATAAAAGTAATTTTATGAAATTTCTACAAATAGTTCTTTTCTTCTAACCATTGACGAATTTAAAAGTTAACGGATTGAAAATTAACTTGAAACATCACTCGAACAAATCTATTCTTTCTTTTTTAGATTTCAGCACGTTTTCTTTGATTAATTTTCCTGATCAATTTCAGATTATTGTCATTAGTCATTTCCCGTGAAGATTAATTAATTTGCATTAAACAAAGTATGGAGATAATATCAAATCAGGTTGTCACGTATTCGTCAGTTTTTCCTCCCAGTAGTAGACATGAAAAACTATCCTTTGCATGCATGAAAAACGAAACTTTATCTTTTTATTTTTGGAATGCAATTTGTTGTGAAATCCTGTAACCAGTTAGGTCAAATATATTACGATACAATTTGTATAGTCATATAATTACAAAATACTTTGACTTACAGGTAAATCTTAGACAAACCATTGTTTGCACATATAAGCCGTCCGCATGGCGGAATCGTATATACGCCCGCTTCAAAGAACCTGCCTTCATGTTCACAATATGTATCTACAATCGGTAACATTGTATGTTAGAAGTAAAAAAAACTATTCGAAGAATATGATTAAAAACTTTTTATTTGTTTCCGTATTTTTAAAACTTAGTCATATTGTTATCGGACTAATCATATGTATAAGTCGTCTAGTTTGCAAATTTGTCAATGAAGGTGTTGCTGAAATATCAAATTAGCACATGCGTACGTAAGTACAAGGTGTTTCATTTGAAATCTTACTTTCCGTCAGGGTATAGGTCAGATTGCGCGAACAAAACGGTGTAAACTAGATCAATAACAATGTCCTAATCGACTGTGCAATGTACCTCGGTATGGATCCTCCTCTGATTCGCAATTAGAGTAAGCCACCACGCACATTAGTAAGATGAAGATGGCACAAACGTATCTCTTCATTTTACTTTCTTGCTTACGAAGTTACCAAGAAGAAGCGAGAATACTAAAATTGAAGAGAAACTGTGACCTTTATGTGTTATCCCCTCCCATCTTCATCAATCTTTAGTAAAAATCTCGTTTTCGGTACTGCACAAACCAAACGTGCGTTATCGCAAGTGACGATATTGCGAAGATAAAAAGAACGAAATATATCAAATTAGTGTTAGACTAACCGGCACTAATTGAACCCCTGCGTGTTATGATATCAAGTACAGCTTCACGGAATGTATGTACAGTTATTATAACCGAAAATTACGTAAAATTGAGATACAGCCTTGCGAAAAAATCAGTCGATATGCTCGTCTAGTTTGCACATCTGTGCACCACACAATATGTGGATATGTGCGACAACTTTGCACGTATCAAGAATCTTTTGAAAAGATACTAATGACACTATCGCGTCGTTTGTAATTTGGCTAAATTAATCTAGACATATTTATTTTGCCTCGTCGGGACGTAATAACAATGTATTTTTCTTTAGTGATAATGTACTAATCGGCTATGCCTTCCAACCTTGTTCTTGGGTATCGAGATAAGCATTAATAGTGAGCCTTCCCGCATTAATAGTAAAATCGTGCAGATGTAATTTTACTTTTTACTTAGGGAGTTACCAAGAAGAAGTAACAACACTAAAATATAAAAAAGTACCATCTTTTTGTATTATTACTTTTTCCTCCTTCATGAATCGCTAAAAGAACCTTTCTGGTTCTCTTCTATTCTATACAAAGTAAAATGTTCGATGTCATACGATAGCTAGAAGGTTAAAGTTGAAAAAATCAATCACCATATGCTGAATGTGGCTAGATAGGAACATTATATTTAGTGAAAACACGTTTTTTCGATGAGCATATAATATTTAATATCAGTTGAGTTTCGCCAGAAAATGGAACGGGTTCATACACATAAGCGTATATTATGTCTATTAAAATGATTATTGTCGGTTCGGTAGGTGTCTGCACCAATGATGTCGAAAATTACGTAAAATCGCAATACTCGAAATAAACAAACGTGTTAACACTTTCAAAACGAAAGTTTCCAAAACTCACGCTTTTTTGCTTATCGATACTCGTGTCGTTCGACGTACGATGAGGAAAAGAAAGGAGATCGCGAAATATGTTATAGCGACTAATATAAATGGTATCAGGATTGACATTAATCTTTACATTGTCATTTTGTTATTAAAATAATGAGTTTTTCAAAGAATATATTTGTGTAAATAATAAACACATTTTACAGAATTTCGAGATTGGTTCGGAGTAGCAGAAGTGGTTTTGTCACGGCAAGGAACGGATAGTTAAATAAAACCATTTTTGTTTTTTCAAGAATAGATTTTGGGGATTTTTGATATCACTGATTCCAATTCTGAGCATAGATCTATGAAATTTCGAATCTAAGAGCAATATTGATAATATGAATGAATATAACGTATAGACTAGTCCAGAGAACTTTCCTTTGTCAATGTCCAGAGTTAACGACGTGGGCGGAGATAGTTTGTAGTTGCTCTGTGACTTTTGACTAATTTTTGTTTTTTTTATGTTTTTTTATTTTGCGGTGAGAAGGAGAAAACGCTACGCAAGCCGTAGATACCAGTTCTGGTTCCCATATATGTATACCGCTGCTGCAGTACGGAAATTATTACCACCATGTATATTTCAATGCCCTTTCCTGTTATTCGTTAGTCCTCGGCACCACATTCTAGTTCTGGACAGCATTCTGGAAAAGGATAATCCTTGTTCATCCTCCGAATGATAGTCAACGGCGTCCAAGGATAGTGACAGATCGGGGGTTCCTTGCAACTGGAAACAAAACGAAATAAAATTAGATTCTGAAACGATGAGTTAATAAAAAATTTATATTTGCATTGAAATGATGGTAAAATCTTGCAGATGTGCAATTCCAAAGTGAAATAATCTTAGTTGTTTGAAAAGCATGAGAAATGTATTGGGAGAGAAGCATGCTTAGAAATGTTAAATAATAAGAAATTTTTTATGCACAAAATGCATTCTTGCAATATATCTTATTTACATCAAAGTTTACTTTAAAGTATTTATCTTCACGGGTTTGTTAATGGTTTGTCAGTATTATATGAAATAAATCGTATCTTAGGAACTATACTTTCTCTGAGATACAAAATAAAAGTTGCATGAAATCAATTTTTGTGAAATGTTTACAAGTAGTTTTTTTCTTGTAACCGCTTACAAATTTAAAAGTTTCCGGATTGAAAATTGAGTTTCAGCATCGTACGGCAAAATCGAATGTTTCTGTTTTAAATTTCAACGTGTTCTCTTTTATTAATTTTGATGACTAATCTCATATTGTTATTCATTACTTCCCGTGAAGATTAAGTTATTTGCATTAAACCAAGTATGGAGATAATCAAATCAGCTTGTCACATATCCGCCAGTTTTCCCAATTATAAGAATAAGCACGAATATCCATCCTTTGCGTGCATAAAAGACTAAATTTTATTTTTTTATTCTTTGGATGAAATTTGTTGTGCAATCTTGCAACCAGTTAAGTCAAATATATTACGATACAATTTGCAGTTATATAATTACAAAATACTTTGACTTACTATAATTGTTCATGTGTACCATCTTCCCTACATATCAGAGCAGAGCAGGGCTTAAGCTTATAGAAGTTCGGTTGATAGAAATTGTCTTCAAACTTACACAACACCCCTGAAAGTATGTACGTGTATTAAAATTCGAAAACACCATTCAAAGAATACGATTTGAAAATTTTCATTCAATTTCGCCTTTTTATTACTTGGTCATATTATTTTCGGAGTATTCATACATGGTCGTCTAGTTAGCAAATCGGTCAATGATGTGTTGTCAATGTGTTGTTGAAATATCGCATGCTAAGGTAGCATATACTGTGTGTACATGTGCGATTCTTTTTTCGTAGCAAGGGTCTGTCGTGAGGGTGTTAATGTCAATATCATGTCGCCTGTAAATTGGTTAAATTAATCTAGACGCATTTCTTTCGTGGGCATAGTCGATATTTATAGACAGATCTTATAATATGTGTAAAACCGTTTTAAGTGTATCTTAAGATACTGTATAGACCTTATCATTGGCTACGGAGTATCTAAAGATAATCTTAAGGCAATTTTAAACATAAGCTCTATGAGTACTGCCCAATAATATCGTCCTATCCTCAATAACAGTCTCCTAATTGACTATGCAATATATACCTTTATAGTCTGGATCCTTAAGCGTAAAACTAGAGCAAGCCGCCACGCACATTAACAGTAAGATAGCACAGACGTAACTCTTCATTTTACTCTCTTGCATACGGAGTCACCAAGAAAAAGCGAGAATACTGATTGTAAAATGTAAGAGACACTGTAACCTTTATATATGGTTTCTTCCTCCTTTATCGATCTTTAATAGAACATCTCGTTTTCGATATTGTGCAAACCAATCGTGTGTTATTGCAAGTGATGATATCGTGAGGATAAAGAGGACAAAAAATATCTAATCATTGTTAGTCTCACCAGCACGAATTAAACACTACGTGTTACGATCTCAAGTTCAGCATTGTTGAGTGTAGTACAGTTATCTCATTTTTCTTCACATTATGTGTGTGGTTTTTGCGAAATTTTGACGCTGATTTGTCTTCCAGTTCTGTTTTTACACGCAAGGCACGTTTTATGTATATACGATACGTGCTCGGAGGGGAAACCTTTTTTCTGTTTTCGTTAATTGAACTTCCCGGTCGAAACGTTCAGCTCACTTTGACACAGATGGTCGAACAATGTCTTTTTCTGTAGCGATAATCTTCTAATCGGCTATACCTTCCAATCTTGTTCTTGTGTATCGAGATACACAGAGTGAACCTTCCTGCATTAATAGTAAAATCGCTCAAAAATTTTACTCTTTACTGAGAGAGTTACCAAGAACAGGATTTTTGTGTTGATTATTATTTCTTCCTCCCTCATGAATCTCTAGAAGGGCTTTTCCATTTCTCTTCTATTCTGCGCCAAGTAAAACGTTCGATATCGTACGATAGCAAGAGGGTAATAGTTGAAAAAAATCAGTTGCCGTATGCTGGATGTGGACAAATCGGAACAAATTTATATTTATTAGATGTACATGTTTTTCCGATGAACACATAATATTTAATATTAGTTGTGTTTCGCCAGAAAATGGAACACATTCATACACATGAGCATGTATTTGGTCTATTAAAATTATTGTTGTTTGTTCGGTAAACATATGTCTATACATTGTTGTCAAAAAATCATTACGTGTAAGCGTCTCGTCGCAAATCTTTTTTGAATTTACTCGACTTGTTAGGAGGTGACAGGATTCTGCATCTGTATTGCGTAAATCGGAATTCCATGAATCACAGACGCACCTTACATGCTACAATAAGCTCTACGACTGCGAGTATTAGTATCCGCCCTATTCTCAGAGAAAGAAAGACTCCGCTTAGTTACCTAGTTACGGCGAAAGCCATTGCTCCTCTGTGAGATCACACAATTTGTGCTAGCGCTAGAGGATCGCCTAGTTTTTTTATTCATCCGAGAATACCGCAGGCTGAATTTTAAAAGACACCTGGGTCTATTCTTACACACTTATGCATTTTATTAATGTATTATTAATTACTCATGGATATATCATTTATTTTAGAAATGATTTATGAATATTTATAAATTATTGTACGATGAATTTTTCGAGAAATATACAGATCGTCCATGATACGTGCGATTCGGCTCCTTGTTAAATAAGACTCTGACAATTTTTACCGCGCCTTTCCATAAAACTTTTAAGCACTAATGATAGTCAAGTACCCATTTCCAGAACCATTTCCTACTGTAGTATTCGTTTGTATTGATATCTATAATGTATAAAGAGAAAAACAAAATGCGTTATGTGTATCATTAAAATCTAGCATCGATAGTCCCACGTTCAGTTACCTTCGTCGAAGTATAGATCGCTGTGTATTATGTAAAAAATAATTTCTATATGAAGAAGTAACTACGTCGTAATCCAGACTAGATCTCGTGTGTGTTTCGGAAAAACCGAAACCAACTGATATTTAATAACTGGTATCCATATAAAATATCGTCTCTGATTGACAACGGTACCGGCCACTGCGACACGTGTGCAAATGCATAGTACACAAAATATTTTTCCCGAATATACATATGTATATATAGTATATACATATAACATATGTATATATCGCACAATAATTAATATTTATGCGTTCTAAATTTACTGGACACAATTTTCTGAAATAGATTAATTTGTTAAGCGACATGGGTCGATCGCTGTAATTATGTAACTCTGTCTTTAGTTACGATGTAGCGAAGACCGTCCGATTTTCACGTGGACGTGTTAGTTTCTAAACGTGACTTATAACACGTGACTTATACAAGTTTAAATTTGTACAATTCGAGTAGTCGTCGTGCGCATTACCCTTTTATTTCGTGCCACGCTATTGAGCTTCATTTATCCAGAATTTGTTTAGGGAAGATAAATTTAGATCTTAATAAAACTTACAATTAGATGATAATTTGAAATCTGTCTCAAGTATGAATTAATAGACTCCAAAGAAAATTACATAAAAATTAGACACGTTGCTTTATTCAAAGCACATTTTTTCTGTTAATCTTCTTTGAAATTTTTGGCCAGGATTTTCAATAAGTAAATATAGATATACAAAATTCCGATAAATGGAGCGTTATCGAACGCGAATAAAACAGGGAAGAATATGGCGCTCTGTTGCACGAATCTCTCTACAAATTTCAAACTGTTCGACGAAAGTGTCGTGAAAAACGCACACAAACGAAACACGTATTACAAGATCTAAATCTAAATACAGACGTTTAATTTATAAATATAAATGTGGATCCTTACGCGCTAGTCTCATATATCTCTATGTATATTTTTGTCTAAAATATCTTTCAGAGATATAAAAACGCAGAATATATAAATTGCGACACGACACCGCGGTAATACTGCACGTATTTTGATATTACGTGCGGATGTGTAGCTAGTAGATTAGCTATCTCTCTGTTTAATTATTACCCCTAAAAAGTTACAAGCGACGGCTTGTAATTGTACGTATTTCGAATGAAATGCACATTCTTGCATAATTTATCGGCAATTTTTAGGTTCTCTGGTAAGCATCAAAGATATATATGTATCGATAACGGAACTTGGTTGAGAAATATATTTTTAACCACCTAATTTGATACTAATGGAAAGTAAGCAATATTTGTGTAATTGCAATCAATTATCTTCCAACAGATTTATTACGAGCTGTTCTTTCCTCTCTTCTTCAGTATTAACCATACCGGCAATTTAATTTAATTAACACTGAGATGCGAAACAACAAGACAAACCCCGTTATCGATATACATGTATATACTTTCAAGACGTTCGATACAGTCGTGTTGGTCCTCTCTTTCCACGTTGAAAAAGCATTTAACAAAAGAATATAATTGTATAGAAATAAAACTAAATCTGACACTCATTGCGCAATTAAATTTCGCAGATACCTACGAAATTGTTCTCTTAAGTATATACATACATATATTAAATATATAAATGTATATAAAATATATATTTTATATATATTATATATATATATTTGCGTACAAATAAGTCTTATGTGTAAACGTTCGCGAAAAAAAGGGCATCGAAAATAGAGATAGAAAAACGGACCATTACGCAAGAATTATGCTATCAAAAGTATTTTTTGTCTATCCAACATTCGTGCGCAATGTCCGCTCAATTAGTACAAAATCGACTGTAGGAAATCTCTCGGTCAATTCATATACACAATTACTTATAACACAAACATGTATACGGACGGTATTGAAAATTGTGTATGCGTCAGATTCACATTACACTAATTTTTCTTTTACCACAAATCTGTCTTCGACGCATTGTGGAGAAAACCAGTCATCATTTCTACTTGCTTTAATATTGTAATTAAATGTATTATCTACACTCTACGGGACATTTCTAAAAATCATTGCACGTTCTTTCGATCACTATGATTCCATCAATCAGCACGCGATCGATGGAAAGAGCATTGGCTTTGAGAAACACGCTGTACATAAATATAATGTAGATGCAAATATCTCATGGAAAATCTCACAGATATTTAATTATGCATTCTACTTCGCGTTAGGAATTTGGAAAAATACACTTGAACTCGCTGCTTGGCTAAGGCAACTTGAAAAGTTTTTCCGAGCTTTGTACCCTTGGTCAAATTGTTTCATGACATTTATGATCCTTGATTGTCTTTTTATTTCCTAAATTGAAATCGATCCTTCCGAAAAAGGTGTAAGATCCGGGAATCGCGTCATTCTCGAATGTCGATTAAAATCACGTATCCCTCACTGAGTGCATTTCATTCGTTGCTTATATATACACACACACACACAACACACAAGTCAATTCGCGTTTGCAATTCTTTTCGGTAAGAATATTCGATCGGCTCGAAGAATTAATTCCGATTTGATCTTGGACGCATTTGAGAGAAATGCAAGCATGATGAAACGAACATTAACTTTTATAGTGCCTTTTGAGATTAGTCGCGATGGATTGGTCGCAACTTCTATAAATGCTGGCAAGATATAGTCTGAAACGGTAATGGAGGCGGTAGAGGCGCGTTCTCTTCGTGGATCATCACTAGCTTGCCATACTTCACCATTCTTCTCCTTTGCTTGCTCTGTAAGCAGATCAAACGAATCGCGTTTACGCGACACTAAATATTCTGATGACGTTTAATAAATTTCGCAATGTGCTTTTAATCGGCTCTCTTACCTGCGATTCAGTCCAACTGCCATTGCTACTTCCGCTATCGCTTCCGCTCGACGTGATCCCCTCCTCGAGGATGAGCTCGGTGCCGAACCTTTCCATCTCCAGATCCAGATAGAGCTGTCCCAGTTGATCGTTCACCAATAACGGCTGATTGAAGTTTTTCATCGCGTCTAGGTCAGCCTTTAGTACCTCGTTCAATGTCTTTGGATGCATCTGGTATTCGTAGATCAACTCCGGCGTCAGCTGGACGCCCTCTAGCCAGGGTGGATCCTCCCTTCGTATTCCTTGATGACACTTGGCGTGTTCCTGTGCATTTATTACACTCATACAGTCAAGCACACGGGTATTCAGACGCCATAAGGGTCGAAGAGACGCATTTAAAAACGTACGAAAGATCGAGACCCTCCTTGGACATTTTTCGGACATTGCGCTTGATTTTCCACCTCGGAAGAAACCTCACATATCTTCTGGTCCGGATTGCAGCTGCTGTCGCTGCTCTTGTATAGAAAGCTGCTATAGAAGCTGGACGAGCTGGACTCGTCCCCGTTATAGTCGGTCGGTCGGCGATGTTCCTTCATAATCACCGGTGTTAAGAGATCAACCACGCTTGAGCAGCCGCCGTCATTGCTCACGCATGATGAGAATAGCTCGCCGGGTGATAGAACCTGTCAGAGTCACACACACACACACAACAGTGTAAATTAATACCTTATTGAAAACTCGGGGACATTAGTTCTAAAACATCAATTAATTAAATTCATCAAAATCCAGGTTGTTATAGAAAACAATTCTATAATAATCCTTTTCAAATATTCTCCACGATAGGCAGCTTGTATTGTATGTACAATAGGATTCGGAAAAAGAATGATGGTAGACCATTTCACCTTTTTCGAAGACTCGGACATGGCCATTGTGCTCCCCGGCTCAGCCTTGACGCTGGTCGCCTGACTGGCCGGACGTTTGCGATCGGCGCACTTGTCGTTGAGTTGCTGGTTCTCGCGCGTCGTTGCCGTCGGTGCTTGTTCGGGTATTAGAAAGGGTCGGTACATCATAGCACGCGGTGGAGGTGCGCCGATCACAGCCGGATAGATCACACCGGCCATCGCCGTCGCGACGTAAGATACTGGAGCAAACACTAAAATTCTTTTATAGCTCTCCATAGGAAACCTATTTCCTAATACCTAATTCTAATTTCACCCTAACAATAAACCTTCGGAAATACATATCGCTTTGAGACGAGGAGAAATAAAAGGCAAAACTCGGTTACTTCTTTTTCCCCCACTTGGATTTACCGTCGAGACACCTACCGTAAGGATTCTGTTGCGCCGGTTGCGTTGACGGCGGTGGACCCAGTTTCTCTTGCGACGACATCCTCGTCGTCGCGGACTCGCTGGGTTGCGGTACCGGCATGTAGTACACCGGTATCATTGACGGGAGTAATGGGAATCTCGGTACGGCCTCCGAGTTGATACTGAAATATTTTTAAATACATGATCTATATTCGTGGATCATTTAAACTCTTTCGTTATCTTTCTAATATTGTTATACGCGAGACTTTTACGCATAGATATAGTAAATATAGACTGAGCGTCCCATTGAATAAGCTGAAGCTTGTGAAGGGAGAGAGAATATTTGGGAAGACTTTCTTTTTCTGTCTTACACTATCGTAAAAGAAAAGAGTCGTGCCTGCGCCTCCCTTGTCACAATGGTGAGACAGAGAAAGAAAGTCTTCTTAAATCTTCTCTGCCTCTCTCTTCACAGGCTTCAGCTTATTCAATGGAACGTTCAGTCTATATTTACTATGTCTATGCTTTTATGTGACATTTGATACACTCGTACAGTTGAGTGACATTTGTTCTACAAACCTAATATCGTCACTCTTTCATAAAATATTCATTGTTAACGTTGATATACTCTTATACTACAATTTATATCGTTATTTGTTAAAAAGGACTTTACTTGTGAGATCGAACACAAGATTGTGTAGGTGCGGAGGAGGGCACGGTGACCGACAACGGTGGCCACAGGTTAATATTCGCCCCCGTTTGCACCACGGTCGATTGATCGAGGTTGGTGACGGTGGTCGTGAGGTTCGCCGGACCCGCCGTGCTCGTCCTCGAAATTTTGTCGTACTTGGAAACCTATTATCGCATTCAGATCCATATAAATTTTATATAATATGCATTATATACATACATGTTTTGTATGTACTCTTGCATTTATATATTTATTTATGTAATTAAATTATAAAATTAAGGCTCCGATAAAATATACTATTCGCGTCCGATAACTATTGTAATCGAAGTTTATTTTATACAACAACATATTGGCTGAAGAGGGTCACATATAGTGACCGAAACGTTTCGTTTTATTTATTTATTATATATTAGTGTATCACATGTAAATCTTTTAAATAAGTTATTTTAATATATGACAATTACCGAAAACCTGGTACTGGCTCACATTGCCCTAATCCGTCTTCTTTGACTTAAACACATTGATTATTGTGAAGACTGTAATTAGTTTATTTATGTAACATGCCTTTAGCATCGAAAGCGGAAATTAAAGTCTATATCCATTCCACCCAACGGAGATAAAAGGATTCAGTTGACGAGAGTATAATTATGGGAATATAAGTCAGCAATTTATCCAAATAAGTGAATTTCCTAAAAAATATAAAACACACCTTGAAACTGTCACCCTCCCAGCTATGACTGCCACTTCTCTTGATGCCGTGACCCTGATTGACATAATGGGCGCTCTGGTCTGTACCGTTGACCTTCTCCGTCTTGATGCGCGAGTCTTTCAGCTTGTCACTGTTCTTGATGCTGGAGCGCAGCTCCCGGTGCTTCTGCATCATTAGCTTCTCCATGTCCTCGTTGTGGCGGTTCAGCAACGACTCCGTTAGCGTGGGCGGCTTGAAGCTCTCCGTCGCGGTGGTGTTACTGTTGCTGGCGGTGTTGGACGCATTGCCCCGACTCGCCGAGCTCGTCTGATTGTTGGAACCGCTGCTCAGGTTCTCCGCGCTACCACTGCCGCTTGCCCCGCTGCCGTTTATTGGTGACATACACTTCCGCGCTGAAAACATGACAAAAATTGGTCCCAACGAGGTTCCTTTAGTATAGTATTAGGAAGAAAAATGGTGATGCTCACCGCCTTCGTCGTTGCTGGAATTAACGTTCTCCTCGTCGCTGCCGTACATGGTCGCGACCGGCGGTTTGCTCTTGAAGAAGCGCTCGATGTTTTCGTTGTAGTTGAGCTGGTTGTAGCTCGGCGGCGTCTCCGTGGAAGACTTGCTGTCGTAGTACTCGTGATGGGGCGAGATCTCACCGAGCATCACGCTGTCGTGCTCCTGCAACAAGGGATTGCGTGATCCCTTTACAAGTATATTGTAGAGACTTAGAGTGAGTTGTCACGGAGGTTCGGTATGCAACTTAATGCCGTTACCGTGGTCAGTAGTGTTTTTGCGTGGTCGCATTTGCTTTTCATTCTCTTTGTGTTTTATTTGCTTTTTTTTTGCGTGAGCGGTGGGATGAGTGCGCCGACCAGCCATGGCGCAGATCAGTCTCGGTTAGACAAAGCATTTCGCTAGAAGTTGTGAAAGACCTCGTGTACCTACTAGACCATCTACCAATCGTCCATTCGCGAGCTTGCGGCGCAAGCTCTTGCGGCAAGCGCGGATAATACGTGTAATTTACAGCGAAGAGTCATGCGACCACCTCACCATCCGGATCGCAATGTCCTCCATTGCGTCGGATTTCCGTCTCCTCCTGACACCCCATAGATCCCAGCCGCGATCGATTGAAGCATCGCGGCGGATTCAATTTTCCGAGACTGCAGTGACAGCAGAACGCCAATTCGTAATTTTGCCTTTCTTTTTTTTTGCATGCCCCGACGAGACTTGAAATGCGAGCGAAGTTACACCGCCTTCAATTTCTGTTTCTTTATTCCATTCGTACCATTCTTTCCTTCTTACGCATCCTGCTTGCGTTTTACCTTTCATTCGACTCTTTTTTGATAATACTGAATTAGATATACTGTTTTAAATGTATATTAGTAATAACGTGAAACATGTATGTATTAGAAAAAGCATATCCATCGACAGTGAGATTGGATGTTCTACGTAAGCTAACACCTTCCACGTACCGTTACGAAGTGAAACGTTCATGTTATCGTTACACACACCCATACATACACACACATAAGTATAGATTAGGGTTTTATACGTAGCATACCAGAGCGGAGCGCACCATAGCGTAAGTGGTAACTAGCGTAACAGTGTCTCGGCGATACTAAAACGTAGCTAATAGTCACCGAAAAGCTCCTGAGTTCGTCCGCCGCGAGTAGTCCGTCCTTGCCGACACCGGGCGCCCTCGTCTCCTGCAGCAGACTTTCCATGAAGGACGCTAGATCCTTACATCGCTTTGACACGTCGAGCTCGGTTATATTTGACATTGTCTGGATGCTCTGCGCACACGTACGATAGAAAAGAAAAAAACAAGGGAACAAGTTGGGAGATGAGTTGGCGCAGCTCTGCCTCGTCGTGACAGATTGTCGTATTGTTTTCTCTTGGTTACACGGTAACGCCTCGTCTGCGTTTCTCACATACGTACATGTACGATTAACTCTACCTCTTTGCCGTGTTATTGGACTTTGCAGGGCGATATTAAGCAAGTCCTTTCGCTATTAAAGACAATCACGGTTGCGTCATCGAGGGAGCCGAGCTGATAACAGCTCGATTGTACAATGGTCCGACCTTTTTACTTTTAACATTACTGGAATTGCACGCCTCATTTTCATGGATAATACAACTTTGAGGGGCGCTTCGAGTCTCGAACAAGAGTGGATCGCGAATCGCACGTGGGTAGTGTCGTGATGTATGTGACGCAGTCACCTTGCGGTCGATGATCGTACCTCGTCGAGAAGCGCCCGTATCTCGCCCTGGATGATCTTGGCCTCCTTCAGCACCTCCTCGCTGATGCTGGCCAGGTAGCCGCACTCGGTGTCGCGCGACACGCGGAAGATGTCCGGATCCACCGGTCCCTTGAGCACCCGATGTTGACCTACGACAAACTCTAGTTTTTTCGTCCAGGGATTGATAAAGGACGACCACTCGGTCTCGAGGACGACGCATCCCCCGTTCTGCACGGCGAACCTGTACGGCTTCGACCTGAAGGAGGCGCCTTCGAGCTTGATTACCTGTTCAACGACATTTCGTAAGGGATGAGTAATTTCTACAGTAACGTGAAGAGAAATATCCGAATGTTCATTCATTCTCTTATCAAGCGTGCACGCGATCGGAACCTAAATTTCTCTCTCTCTCTCTTGTTTCTTTTTTTTGGTTTTTGTTGGACTCATGCTCACAGTCTCATAGATGTCTTTGATGAAAGGTAGATCCTCGGGATGGTAGAAGTCAAACAGCGAACGGCCAACCATATCCTGTGGTAGATAGCCGAAGTATTGGACTACGTCGGGATCGACATGGGATAGGTGGCACGTCGCGGTGTGGCGGGTCGTGAATACCGAAGATATTATTGTTTCTTCTGGCGCTGCGGATAACGACAAAGAGTTCGGGGTCATTCTCTTTCGTCGCGGTTCCACTACCTTAATGAGCGAGATTTTTATAGAGCTATCGCAATGGTTAGCCGCCAGCAAGCCGGTGCGAGACGCGGAGGTAATTCGCACGCTGTTAATTGATTAGTTTCGGCGTGGTTAAAACGAAATCCATGCACGAGAAGCTGGTCGACGCTGCGCAGAATTGTCTCCATACCCGTTCTGAAGATAAGTTAAACTCCGCAACAAATTTTCGTACTGATCGCGGGCAAACTTCAGAACATCGCGACGCCTCCTCTATATTATGCTGCTCTCAAAAAGACAAGTTTTCTTCGGAACTTGAACGTTTGCGGTGAAACAGAAGAAAATAAGTGGATAAAACCGTATAATCGACACGTTGCACAGTCTTGTAAAGTAAATGAGAAAACCGGAACAAAAGTAAACGTATCGAGGCTGAAATTCCAAAAGGATTACTTTCAATAAGAAACTGAAATCATTTTGAACAACACGAGCTACTAATGAAGTCGATTAATAAAAAGTACTCCGATAACGAAGCTTGTGCAGAGAATGCGCATGGTGATCGGAGATATGGGAGCTTCCCATGCACTGGCAAAAGCGAAGCGAGCGAATCATTGTCGTGAAAGATGATGAGTGCGCGGTCTGACAGCGTATCGCTCGTGAGACACGGGCGTTCGTAACAGTGGTCTCCAAACTGAACGAAAAACGGGGAAACCGGTTGGAAAAATGATAAGGAAATGGCACAGCGACAAATACGGCAAAGATGCGAACGGTATATCAACGTAGATATCGTCACGAGCCGTCGTACGGGCGACTTTGAGAAATCGGAAGTAAGTTACCTTCGTTTTAGACGTTTTCCATGGAAACCACCGACTCACTGTGAACATCGTCAACGAGGTCGGACCAACGACAAGGCTCGATCGTCGCTGATTAAGCGTTCTTGCGCGTAACGGACACGCGTATGTATCTTGAGAACGTATAGTCAGACTAGGGGTGAGATTAAAGAACAGAATTACCGTGTCCCCTGCTACTTTCCCGCGTGTTCTAGATACATCCTGTAAGCCCGAGTCACTTCAACGAAGTTGCTCGTTCATTTCGGCACGCGTTTATTCCATGTCGGAGATATATTCCAAGCGATTGTTATATTTGTTATATTTGTTATATTTGTTATAAGCGAGGAGAATGCTGACGATTTTTTAGTAGGAACAATATTGCAGGAAATACTCCTCGCAGTAACTCGACTTCAAATCGACGGTGGTCTGCGGAGAATCTTATTTCAGATCACCACCATCTCGCCGCGATCCGCAATAGTGATCATTGCGATAAATTGCTTGTCCGCCGCCAACTTTTGCGACAATCAAGCTGACTGTCTGCTAATTATCGAGTCCTCTCGCCGGTCGGACCTCGTCGAAGACCTTGGACCATGCTACCTTTGTATGCGGAATGGACGGGTTGAGCGGTAACTACGAGGAACATAGCTCGGTTGCTGGGCTGTTGCTCGGCCGTTCGATCCCGGAGGTCTCGGAACGACAGGGTCAGGTGAAACGGTAGATACAGGTTCGACCTGGCGTCCGCGCGATATCCGTTTGGCATGTTGCACCTGGTGAATCTCCGCAGACCGCAAAACAGACTGGCCCTTCTGCCATTGATGCCTAAATAGAAACAGTATCTTGCTTAATAAAATCCAGAAGTCGTATAATGACGAAATAATTGGTAGAGGAAAGTCCTCTATTACGGGATAGAATTCTAGTACGAGATACGTTTCCAACACATAAATTCAATCACAAATCTTTTTTTCGCAACGATTACACGATCTAACAAACAATTTTCCACTAAACAGATTTCACTCCAGGGGCAATAAATTCATGGGACTTCCTCTATCCCCTATCTAATCCTCTAAATTGAGTTCTAAAAATCGGGAACGAAAGTTTATAATTTAGTCGCTCAAAATTATTGCATATGTGCGTACAAGTGATACTCATAAAAAATAATATTTAGACTAAAATACATTTGCTACAATAGAATATTTGTCAAATAACAGAGACTTTTGACAAGTTTCTTCTTAGCTCGTCAGAGCAAAATGTTTACGTACCCTTAGACCGTTCCTCTTGCGGCGAGGCGATGCCACTGGTGATCTGATCGGCGAGGGTGGTCTTGTCCTTTGGATGCACATAATCGATGAAAGACCGGCCAATCCAGGCGTCCTTGAGATAGCCGAGGGCGGTGCATATCGACGGGGTTGTGTACAGCACGAGGCCGTCGTGCATCGAAATCACCGCGCAAAATCCCTCCTACAGAACGTTCAGTAGATTAGAGCTGACTTGACTGGTAGCACTAACCTCTTTTCGTAAGACATACAAGTGTTAAACTAAAATTGGTCACACTAAAAGCAACAAAAAAATTGACGAACTTTTAATTACTATGAATCATCGCAGGATGTTTAACTGACGAAATTGAACCTGTCACGTTATCATCAGCAAGTTAGAGACTTCTCACACCGAATTTAATTGCCACTCCTATCGCGTGCGAGGACTACATTAAAATATTAATTAATTATGGGTGAGACGTCAGTGAAAGAAGAGATACTGATGGAATTCGTGATTATGCTAATTTACACGTTACTTCTTGTCCTCTCGTCTACGTTACACCGGCATTATGCAAAAGTTTTTGCACGCAATTTTTTACGTGAATGCATATAATCCTCTAATATGTTTCTTTGCGAACCACTCAGTCCTGTGTGAGAATGGGCATGAACAATAGGCTGACAAGCAGATCTATTCATTTTAGTTACCGTCTACACTTGGTTAGCTTCTTTTCATTCCCGAAGATCAAAACACGCTGATTTTGCGGAAAGTGCGAGAAAGCGTAACCAAACCGAACAGAAAACATCGTTGTACCACAGACGATTGTCTAACAGGTCTAACTCACGATCATATCGATATGCGGATAGATAAAGTCAGCAATTCATCTTACGTGCAATTAATAAGATCAAGCAGTTATTGCATTGATTTTTCTAATGAATATTAACGTTTGTGGATTATAATAGTAACAGTTCAATTAATACTTCGCCGTCGGAGCGGGCAAATTCAGCCGGGCGCACGAGTAAAACTGCTTTTAAAAATGTAACTTTTACATTTTACAAATGTTCATAAACTTTTGGAAAAAATATAAAGGGAGTTTTACCTATTAATACATATAAATCACAATTAATTATGTCCATGTAAACGTTACGCGTCGGCGAAATCGTAATACCCGATGACGAGTCGCCGTTATTAGTCAAAACACTTCCGAGACAAGTTGCCCCGTTACGTCAGTCTGTCTTTATCCTCGAGCATTCTCTCGCGTAACGGTTAGAGGAAAGTCATGTAGCTAAGTCAGTAAATCTCGAGAGGAGGAGTTTCGCCGATAGTTGTATGGTACAGAGTATCCCTGCGATATTAGTCAGCTTTCTCCATGCTGACAGAGACAGAGTGTCGCCAATATTATGTCTATACACCGAGTAGATATACAGAAAGAGAGAAAAAGAGAGAAAAGACATTGTGACATTTTAACAACACTCAGGATCCGAAAGGTAAAAACAAATTTAAAGAGCACATCAAGGAGAGAAAACCCGAATATTTTCCTCGGTGTATCTCATTTGCAACCGCAATCCTGCAGATGTAACGTCGAAAATGAGTTGCAGGAAGCGCGAGGACCCATCCGTTGGGTCCCGAGCAAGCCTTGCTCCTACGATCGCACGGTGCGATTTTTGAGAGTCTCTGGATTTTTCTTTCCTTTTACATCTCTTCGACGTGTGCGTTTGCATGAATGTGTGTATGTGTTTTCATTTTCCTCTACTACATCTATCGACGTATACTAACATTAGCCTGAGACGTGGAATCGTCCAGGGGGACCGTTCGTGAAGCGAGGCCTGCTTCCGGATCTGCGACGGTGTCGCCGTTGTGCTCGCTGGGGTCCGTTGCGTCCACCATTTCTACGGTGGTTATCTCTTCTTGCATCAAAAGAAATTATCGTTGTTATATACCGAATTGCTGGCGGGGTTATCGGGATAATGGTGGCGGGAGGGAATGAGAAGGGGAATCACATCAGGCACTCTTTTCATTCGAATAAGCTAATTGTAAATCATTTATGATTTATTGATACCGAAGTAGAGCAAATTTAGTGAAAGAAACATGTTCTGATTATCGCATAATGTGTGTCAAAACGCTTTCCTTTTTAAACTAAAAGATAAAACAAAGGTGAGTTTAAGAACTTAATTAAAAAGAAGTCCTGAATCGTGAACATAAATCGTGTTGTATATCGAAATCGCGAGAACTGACGCGTGAACAAGGGCGGGTAAGGGCACTCAATGCTCCCTTAGTCCAAAATAACGCGGAAACGATCGCACCGTGGTACGTACTTGGCATAAAATAATGTCACGTAAAAGAGTAACGACAGGCTCGCTAGAAAGTTCAATGCTATTACTCTTAGGTGATATGCTACCTCCGACTACATCGTTACTTCCCGGTGAAAGGCATTCACTGCGGTTTCTCCGCGAGCGCATGAAACGTGCGGGCTTATCGTACGATTTGATGACGTCTAAGGGCCAGTTTCACAGACGTCGGGTAACTGTTAACCAGAGTTCAGTCGACTCCCTATCTGTTTCTGTCTTATTATCTAAGAAGAGACAGAGAATCAATTAATCTTCGGTTAGCAGTTAATCGACGTTTGTGAAACTGGCCTTAAGTGAAAGCGAAACTAATCATATGACAAACAATATCAATGTCTTTATCGATTAAATTCATTTTTTGTTGCAAAAAAGTATATATGTGATTATAATGGGAATTTTTGTTGTGCAAAAGTTTAATTGTTAAATTACGTAACGTCCTTACTTTCGAAATTAGTGGTTTTTTATGGCATCTTGCGGCACGATATGTTTCATTACTCGCTGAAAAACGTTAACGAAGGGCAATTAGGTATTTTTAAAGGCACTATATTTAATTCCGCGCTGGTGAAAGGGTTAAATAAACGGCGACGTAAACGCTTACGTAAATAATAGGGAATAACGGGCGAGCGGCAAACACAGAACGAAAGTGATTTCGTAACGCACCTACTGCATCTTAAATTAACGCGCGCATGAGGGTTGGCATTAACTCGTTAAAAATAGTCATCTTTAGTAACGGGAAGAGCGATAATTGCATAGATCTAACGACGTGATTCGAATAGAAATAGATGGTTGTAAATCAAATCCCCTATCAAAGTTTTGTGGCTCCGATACGCTCGTAAACAAAGAAATCTAGGTAGTAAGGGAAGTTCCACGCTTTAAACGTGACTAAATATGTCCTCCCACGGCTTCGCTGTTCGCTTATTGATTTCTCAGTTTCGCAATAGTTTATATAACCCGCACATGTTGTTAAGGGGAAAATCGCACGCGTGCGATGCTTGCATGAACCCTTCGAACTGACAAAATATTTTTCACTGTTAAACAAAACTTGCCAAAAATTTTCACAAAAAAATGTCATAATCGCGTAGCTAATTTCTTTTCCAGCTTCAACTTTATTTCAAAATTTTTCCTACGGCGCAACCGTAGACGTTTATGGTATCACGACAAATGGATGAGATACTGAAGAAATGAAAGAAATGATCATGAAATGTAAATGGAGCAACAGGTGACGCTTGACTGAGCCTAAACCCGTTAGTAGCGGGATCGATAACTTCGGTGGACTCCGAGCGTGAGTGTCACGTTGGATGGAAATTTTACACCCCACTTGAGAAAACTTCCGTCCACGCGTGTCGCGATTTTCTCCGGTGACGATGAAAAGGCCGACAAAGGGGTTGCTTTAAACGCGTGATGATGATGCGTGTCGCATGCGCCCGCGAAATGTTCAACGTGACATCAACGTGTGGCACAACGTGTGCAGGCTTCAAAGAGGACTTTCGGTCACCAGGCAATTAAACGCTCGATCTCGAAGTCTCCCATAGATGTTTAGCTATCTCTCATTCTGAGCAATTAAAAAAAAATTTACCGCCTGCAGCAGATTGTGTGCTCTTTTTTACACGCGCCGGATATGTAATTCCAAAGTCGCATTACTTTACTCGTAGAGTTATTTTATTTGTTTAACGCGCAGCATGAATTTTTGGAAAGCTTATCTTTCGGACTAGAGCCTTTCCGTTGAGTTTTAAGACAAACGTAATCAGATGCTCGACAAAGTAAATAATTATTTCAACGAGATACTAGCTGGACTAAGGGATAACCGTGAGGGGGAACGTGTCGAAGCCCTAGGCAGGAAATAGTAAGGTGAAGCCCGAAGAAGATCGGGAAGAGTGCACGAAATCAGTTTGTCAAGAAACGAAAAACAATGAGTCATCGATGCGCAGCGATATTAATCTCACAAAGCATTTTATGCAGATTTAGTTCAACAAGTAGTAGCGAATAAAATTCGTGAGTAAAAGACGTAGTTCGCGCGCTGCTCGTTTTTCGTTAGAATCTACAATGATCTTTTAGCGAACAATCTTATAAAAAGTTTCTCTCTTGCTTCCTGCAGTTGTACAAAATCTTTAAATCCACTCCACTGCGCAACTGAAAACGTACGTCGGACAAAAAGTAGAAAGAATCGTAAAAAACTAACTGATTTGACAAAAAGTGTTTCGTCCGTGACTGTCCATTGCGTAAATCTCAATGAAAGAGGTGCTAATTCGCGTGCACTCGTTCCCTGCTTCCCTGTGGACAGATAACCAACCTGGTTTCTTGTCAAGCACGGTGTTCGCCGGCGCGACAGCGTTATACGACGTAACTTCCGGGAGCGCGATCACCGTCTTCGGGCCGGCTTCCGTCTCGACGGCGTTAAGCACCATCGTTTTCGACTTCTTCTTCTTGTGCTCCTTGTCCTTCCTCTTGCTGATCGGCTGCGGTAGCGCCTCATTGCTATACATGTAATGTGCGTAAAATTGTGAGACATCGCGCAATCCTTCACGCTACCTACAGATCTAATTGTCGAAAATTAGTTTCAAAACTCTCGTTATGCACAGTTTTCTCATCGATGAGAAATTTCTGGAAACACCGATTTGTCGATTTGCCATCTATTGAAAATTGCTGCGCACAATTGCCACTTTCCGCTGAATTTAAAATAAATACGGCGCAAAGACGCGTATAAATATAATTGAGGTAAAATGGAAGATGAAAGACACGCCTTTTTTCTATTGCACCCCGCATTCTCACGTGTTCTTGATGCTATAGCGAAATTTTCGAATGTAGGTCAATCACGCAATGCAGGCCAATAATGTCCGCGTGTCATGCCATGTGACGGGCGAATGTCAACGTGGGAATTGCGCTGATAAGCGAGAATCGTATATAAACGCAGTTCTCGCGACTCACGCGTATCTAAAAATAAATCTTAGGGGAATTATTCCATTGAAAGAGTGCAATTGTAGTGATTCCAGAATCCATAAGAAATGTTGAGAAAATATTCTCAACATGATTGCAGATCGCAATATCCGATGTAACGTGTAACGAGCAGGCAGAAGTTAAAAATAATTATGACAAATGAATCGACCCATATTCAAACATGTATGCACATGTACAGATAATATTAGAATAATGTGTAATATAAATAAAAAATTATAATTGCAAAATTATAAATAATCATACATGTAAATCAATATTACTTATATATTTTTTAAAATATCATTTACATATATTATTTATATATGCAAATATTTAACACGAAACTTTCGTAGAGTCAAGCCGATATTATTCGACAAATTTAATTTATTTCGCCTTTGCATTCTCACGCTGCACAATTGTAATGTATTACATAGATAACGACTTTCTCTCCTGGAAAGCTCTCTCAAGAGAGTCCTGACATAAGAGAACTGTAAGACGTGACTACACGGGTTACACAAGTAAGGGAAAGTTCGCATTCACCTAATCATCGCTCCGAGGTTATTGCCGGAAGTCTTCCTGATCGCACGTTACGTGATGGATGCAAATAGTGAAAGATTACAGCATTAAAGGCGATTTCGATTCACTTAATCGATGACTACTTCAACCGGTAGAATTTCTAACTCTATAATTCGTTGTTGTTCCCAATTTAATCTTTCTCTCCGTATATCGATCTGAAGTAGGAAAGGTACATGCCTCAGTGGTCGAATTGGTGATACGCCCGCCTAGAGTAACCCTACACGTGTAGGGAAGTCTAGGCTCAAACCCTGGCTGAGGTAGTATTTTGCGCAATAAATTTTCTGTATTATTAAAAATGCCGGACATGGTCAAGAAAACACTGACGTTGTTAATTACTGCTGGCGATATTTAAGAATATTCTTGTTAATCGTAACTGTTGTATCGGAATTACTTAAAAATGTCGCTGTACACGGAGAGAATTTTTTCTTAAAATATATCCAGAAAATCATACAATCGTGGGACAACATGGCATTTCAAAGAATTTTATGAAATTTTACCATACATTCTACTAGTAATTACAGTTATTGTTGGTACACGTTTTATTGGTCGGATGTATGGTAAAATTTCAAAAAAACTCTCATACAGTTCTTCAAAACGCCACGTTGTCCCACGATTACATGATTTTCAGAATGAATTAAAAAAAAATTCTCTCCGTGTACATACAAACGACATTGGTTTTTCCCAGCAAGTCATATAAAAATAAATGCCCAACGTGAGACATTACGCGTGACTGCAACGTGCTTTTAATGACGTGACTGATCGCATACGTTTCCCGAAGACTAGCTTCCTCTCTAACAAGACTTATTAGTCAGGTCAATGTATAATAGGATTACTCGCCCGTGCAAAATTATTTCAATTAGTCAAATTACAATTACAAAGTTATATAAGATATATTACGCAATGAATTTAATTTGTATTTCTTTCGTGTTCCTTTTTAGACAACATTTCAATTATATATTCGGAATTAATCTTTCCAAAATCTTTTCACGGCGAGATATTAAAAGACCGATTATGCTTACACTTATTCCTTGAAATCATCGTGCGTTCCACAAAAATTCCGTTTCAGATATCGTTCGCCAAGTACGCTAGATTACGTAACGGTAGTTGTGGTATATTTCGCGCAAGTTTTCCGACGGAGCTTAATCCGTGCGATCGACTTTGGCCGTGAGTTTCGGGATCGGTATTCGCTTATTATAATCGCGTCTCATCTCACTTTATCTATTACGCAAGAATACGCGGGAGTGTCTGATGAATAGGTACCTAGACGGCACGTGGCGCGGCACGTGCATCGGTGTTTATGGCGCAGCTGCTGCATCAACGTTGTTTCCGCCCCGTAACCGTCTTTAACTATTTTATTTATGCAACGCGATTACGCGTGATGCTTAGAGGCACGGCCGTGCATACACGACTGCCTGCTATCTCCGGAGTATTCGCGCAGTTATTCAATCGTGCGCGCCTGGAGCACTCCTTGCTAAATAAAATCGACGCGAGGGCCAGGCTCGTTCATCACGGGATATTACGAGAACTCGCGCAACAAATGCTCCTCTAATAAGTTGTATAAGAAAATGATACTGCACAAGGACACCAGTAATTTTATTCGAGAGATACAGCGCTCTTTAGACGAGTTTAATTATAATCTTAATTTACGGAGATCCCTAAGCGGTTACATAATTATTTTGTTTCTGAATAACAGCGAGATCCATCGCGAAATACATCGGTCCAGAAAGTCTACGAGGCTCTCCCAAGGTTCTTTCAAGAAAATTTATTGATCGAAAAGAAGGAACCTTCCTTCACGCCGATCTTTCTCAGGCACGAGTAATACCGAGGGAGATTAATTTTTCTCCACTTGCCTTCGCGAATCTTTCCCAGTTCTCAGAGAAGTCTCACAATAGCAATATCCGCTTCTGCAAATCAGCCATAGAATATATTCAGCTATTTGCAACCTGGTCGACTGAGCTGCCAGGGGACTGTTATTCAAAGCGATAAATCCGCGCGTGCGGCGCCGCCCCAAATAGCCCCATATTATTAAACGGCTCTGTGTCACGTTTGCACACTTTGTTCATTCAATTCTGCGCGCGGAATATATCGTACGTATCAAATCAACGGCAGATATTAATTCCAATAAATTTTGAGTTTTATCATTTATAACTTTCTCCAACTTCGATCGTTTCACTTGCCTTACGAGAGCGGCGCTGTTTGTTTTATTAGACACAAAAGATTCACCAATTCGAGGATTCGTCTGCTAGCTTTAACAAACTATTAATCGATGGACCGAATTACCTGGATCCAAAGATCGAAGGACGCCTACCGCAGTAGCCACTGCTCTCGGAGCGATTGCTGTTCCTTGAGTTCGAGCTGCCGCTGCTGCAACAGATAACGATGCGAGAGTTGAAAAGTTGTTCTTAAAAGCAACATCCGGGGAGATGATCTTCCTTCGTTGCATCAAATATTTAGTTGTTGCAAGCTGACGTGTATTTCCCCTATTGTATCTATGTTATACAATTGTGCATACTTTTCATCGGTCAATTCGCAAATCATTCTATTGTACGCTATAGGGTCCGGTTTTTCGTTTTCTGGTTAAATGTTAACCAGAGGTTAGTCGATTGCCTGTCTCTTCTTAGATAATACTATAGAAAGAGATGGAGATTCGACATCGTTTCAGCATCGATCGACGAATCGTTTCTCACTGCCCAGTCAGAAATGACTCGTCGATCGGCATCGTTTCGACGAGTCATTTCTGACTGGGTGGGTATACGACTGCAATTGAAAGGAGAATAAAGAAGTTGCTCGCGTATACTTTGTGTACAAAGGCTGGAGATGTAGGATGGAAAGAAAACACAACGTGTGGGGCGCCGATTTTGCGACATCCTCGCGACGATAAAGCATGATAAGAGGTGGTGAATTCCACGACGCAACGATAATAACGACCGCGTTCGCCAAATGTGCAAATCGTGCAATTCTGCGACGCATCCTCGCGATAATTGGCCTGAAACCCGCGATCGACAGGCAAGAATCCTGATCGGGATTCCTCACGTTGCCCACCCGATCGCGGCAACGTGCGAAACGATTGCAAAATAGCGGCACAGTAATCTCTCAACAGCCTCGGCCGCTCGGGAAAGCGGCCTAGTTTACGCCGATCGCTTGATCGGCAACAAGCCTATGCATTAGCGTTATGAATGCCTTAGCCCTAGCAAGTATGTAATTCGCCGAAAATTGGTATCAACTTCTACGAATAATTCTGGATTTCGCTTCAAATTGGACTTAATTACTCAACGCATGTATTTACGTGCGCGGAAAGAAAAATGTAGCTAAAAACCGTGTGTGGTAACTAAATTTTAGTTGTAAAACACGGACTAATATTTAGTTGCGATAGTTACGTATTTTGCTACTGTGCCTATTGTATCGGGTGCGACAGCAAACCGTTTGCTGTGCTTTAGAAATTTATAGTTGCGGCAGCAAAATATTTTTAGCAAACCATAATTAGCTACACGGAGAGAATTGTCTTCTGAAATTCATCCTGAAAATTATGTAATCGTGACACAACACGGCATTTCGAAGAATTTTATGAGAACTTTTCGAACTGTTTACCATATATTCTATCAGTAAAACGTATAGTACAATTTCGAGAAACTCTCATAAAATTCTTCGAAATGCCACGTTGACCCACATGACTTTAGGGATAAATTTTAAGAAATTTTAAGAAAAAATTCTCTCCGTGCATGTAAGGGAAATACAAAGGAAATACAAATAATTAACGTGTAAATAAGTACGCGATTAAACCTTTAATCGTAGTGTCATCAGCGAATATTAATAGGTCGAGATAGGTGCGAAGAGAGGTGCGTGTATGTTACTCTAACTTGTGTGTTAAAAAGCCATAAGGTAATATAAACTAAGTCAGTCACGCTATTCGAATTCACGACAGAACCAGTCGCGGTTGGAAAAAAAGGCCCTCGATCACATGTTCGGCAAACGTGAGGCGTTCGGTCCTTATGCGTTCTCTCTCTCTCTCCCTCCCTCTATCTATCAATTTATCTATCTAGCTCTATCTCTGTGTTTCTCTCTTGAACCTTTCACTGTCCCCATTATTCGCCGACCGTCGCCGACCGACCGGCCGCATTTTGTTCGGAAAAATTATTGCATAAGAAGGCACTGCTTCACGTTCGCGGCCCCGTGACTACCGCGAGGACGGCGACGACCACCACAACGACGCCTATCGATTCAGTTCGCTGATTACGCTCGAGTCTTATCCGGCATACGAGAAATTATTGAATAGTGGGCTCCCTCGCTCCCAGAAAGACTGCATCCCCCCCCCCCTCCCGTTGTATGACGTTATGCAAAAACGAGTTAATCCACCGAATATAGATTGAATTAAATCTGTAACGTGGCATACAAAACTTTTCTCGTTTCTGCCGAGTTTCGAGACAGCTATGCGATAACAATCCTGTTTCGTGGACCTTGCGAAATTCGCGTAACACGTACCATGTAACGATCCCCCAGATATGTCAAATTATTTTCTTGGAATATTTTATTAAAATTTATGACTTCTTGTCTCCCCTCAAGCGTAAACATTTACATTTCTCTTGCACTTCTCGAAGTAATTTGTGCAACGCGGATTCCACGGAACCTCTCGCTAATTATTATCGAATTAAAAACGGACGATAAATAGCATAATTGCAAATGCGCGACTATATGAGGACACGCGGCAATTATCGGTGACCGTAAACGGTCTACAAAGGCACGGAAATAGATGCCCCGGCGAAATGTCACGTTACAGCATCCCGTGCGCCGCAATCGGCGAAGCCGATTTGTTTATGATATCCGCACGTGACGGGGATTCGCACGCAACTCGTTGCAAAATCGATTTATGACGCCCACAGTGTCCCGTGACAAGATTTTCGTCCTGCGGAATTGTCGCGAGGGCTCGACCGTTATCCGCACAATGCCACCCCAGGTTGTTCATTCAGGGTGTCTTCGATCGGTCGCCGTGGTCTAAATTGGTTCGGCAACAATGTGACTGCGCGTAAATAGAAATGTGAAATAAAAGAGATTACCCGAGTTGTAATTTTGCTATACTATTTTGACACTTTTAAGGATAATCTACACCTACTTAGCTGATCTATACACCTACATAGACCAGCAATAATCTACCTTGATGACGTATTTTTTTAATCCGAATCTTTAATTCTACAAATTTACTTTAGTTCCTACTTAAAAGAACCTACTTTAATGCTAAATTGGCTTTTGTACTTGCAGTTCGACCTCTTTTATTGTCTTAGATTCTACTATATAATAGAATTAAAGGTTCAACATAGGGCCAAAGTTTCGACTCGGGTATGTATTATAAAATAATCGCGATCTCTTGTGCAGCCTGAAATTTATTTGACAAACTCAGAGTAACGAGAGGGTTTGTTATCTCAAGCGTTCTGAAATTGTAAAGCTTTCAAATAGCCCGATGTGACTCGCTGACCTCGCTTTGAACTCTAATAATCTTGAAGCTACACTCAGAATAAGGAATCGGTCACCTCCCTGGTAGCACAGTGCATTGGCTAAAGATCGGCCGATACAACCAAATATTGGGCCGATGTTTAACCAATGTTTGGTCCATGCACTACTAGGACTGAGCGAACTCCCACGCTCCGACCGCTAATTTGCGGAGTCATTCTCAGTAGAGCCAGAGAATATCTGTTGCAAACGAGAGAAAGGGCAATTTGAGAATATCCAATTCGAAGAGAGCACCTCGTGCTCTTTAATTTGCAATAGTCCCGCGATGCGATCACGTGGCCGAGAGATCGCGACTTGGCCAACGTCTCCTTTTCGTTCGACCTGTTTTCGCAAGGGTGGTTTCGCAACATTCTTCTAGCCGCCTTACCCAAAGGACGTGGAAATGCAATCGGCACACACACATATAGACACACACAGAGAGAGAAACGGAGAAACCGGTTAGCCTTAACCGTACCGTGTACGAGTTTCCGTCTCCCTCTCGCGCCTTGCTCTATTCGTACGCTTCTCACCGTCACGCAAGGGAAGCGTGTCAATGCCAAGAGTCCCGAGAAGTACTACAGAAAACGCACGATAAGAAAGATTAATTAATTTGATTTTATTGAACATATTGTATTACGCATTGTAACAGTTTTAACGTAACGTTAAGTAAACGAGACAAAAGTAAAGTCATATGTTTTAAATATCCAAAGGGGATGATTCTTATTTATTGTACACGCTCTTTACAGGTTTCTCGGGAAGTTAATATAATTTTTCAAACATCTCAGAGAGAGAGAGAGAGAGAGAGAGAGAGAGAGAGAGAGAGAGAGAGAGAGAGAGAGAGAGGGGGGGGGGAAATAGATGTAAGATATGTAAAAAAAGTTAAAATTTTAGGTAAATTATCACATTGTTTTTTTTTCAACTTTTCGAGCACAGTTTGACCATTCGAGGAGATAATTAATCTGCACACTAGAGAAAAACGTGCACTAGAATGATAATTAACATATATAGGTCGCATAGAAGCCGGACAATGTTAAACCGGTGACTCTGCTTATATAAGTAAGCGGCGATAATCCACCGAGCAGGTGCTGATTTGCAAAAAATTAATCAATCCCAATTCACACACGTGACTCTGCAAATTGCGCGGTAAAGATCGATTGACTAATATTGCAGTTCGATTCTTTCACTCTCGTTGAGACACACATGTTTCGTTGTGCCTATAAAATTTCTGTTTGGTACACCTTGTAATATAACGTTATACCGTTATTATTACCACCTTAGCCATAGTATAACTAGCAGGTCCACTCTCTGTCGGTTCCTTTGAGCTCTGCGGTCCAGATTAGGGCTGGTGATTTCCTTCGAAGGCTTCGACATTCGAACAACGAAGCTTCGAAGTTGATTTCGAGCTTTCGAAATCTTCGAAGCTTCAAATTCTTTCGCAGCTTCGAATCTTCGAAGTTATCAAAAGGTTACAGCCCTAGTCCAGATCACGTGGTATTCCGCCATACATCCGGGCAGGATCCAGCGTGTGTGTGTGTGTGTGTGTGTTTATGTACTCATCAAAGCCACACTACCGCACATACAACTTTTCTCTCATTGGTCTGCCCAGAACAATGTCGAATGCGCATTAAGAATCGACGCAAAACTAAACGAAAATGACGAAGTGCATCTACTAGTTATACTATGCTTTAGCTGCACTTAAGGTCCAAGTTTATCCACAAAACTAACGGTGAAAATGTTCAAGTATCCTTTGCAAATATATTCTTCAAAATTATCTCATTTTACGCTAAATCCACACGTGTGTTCCATGCATAAAAATAAAAGTGAATTTTATTTTAAGGCGAAGCCATTTTTCTAGGGACCAATACCTAATATAAATGCATTTTACATCTGCACGTGAGCACGTGAAGAGTTATAATTCTCGCATTTTACTCATGAAAGAAGATAAAAATACAATTTTTATAATAACAGTTGTGCTATTTTTAATGATGCTGCGATTGTAATTTCCGCTGAACTTTATATACGACGAAAACCTTTGCTAAATCTCCAGATCAGCTTCGCACAATAATAAGTTTCATGTAACAAAATCTCTCAACAATACCACGATATTTCTCTCGTGAAGCCTGTGAACTGGTTCTTTTTTTTATCAGAAAAACATTGAATAATAACGTATGAATTCGCTAAATGTGTAAATTTTCAATATTTTGCATTCGAAAGAAACCAGTAAAAAAATAATAAAATATATTTAAAAATCTCATTAAATTCTCATAAGACAATAAGAGCTCTTTTCGTGCTATTTGTTTCGGGGCGAGTTTAAATTTACGACAAATCGATCAGCAATCGATCATAAATTGTCCGGCAAATTATATCCTTAGTGAGCAACGCTGTTCCCGGATTATTTCATTATATAATATCGCTGTGACAACGTACAGTAATAACTTCCCGAGAACTATATACGCTACACCCATGCAATTATCGGCGATAGCATTTGAAAAATCATTTTTATACAGAAAAATGATTTACTGATGAAAGAAAGCGATAACGTTCCTCCCAGTAGCACAATATGTTGGCGTAATATTGGGAAATAATGTAAATCTAATATTCCCAATATTGGTCCAATAAGATGGACGCCTTCTCTTATTTAGCCAATATGTCTATTTAGCAATATTGGTTTAATATTGTATTAATATTAGACCAATATTGTTATTACTTCGTTAAATATTAGCCAATGCCCTTCCAATATAAATCTAATATTATATAATTATTATCGTGCAATATTTATATTTATTCCATGACTAATATTGGTTTTACGTTGGACAATATCGGCCAATACATTTCTAATATAACCAACATTGGACCAATTTTTAGCCAATGCACTGTGCTACTGGGGTCGTTTTGTAAGGTCGAAAGGATTTATTCTCAATTCAAGAGAGAGAAAGAGAGAGAGAGAGAGACAGAGAGAATATCCGCCATTATCGGTGGCGATGTACAAGTCGCTATTGTGTTCGAAGGCATATAATTGCCGCGGGATAAATTATACCCGGCATTGTGCCGAGTATATTTAATCTGGTTATTTTCGGATCCGTTATTCCGAGCGAGGGGGAGGTGAACAAACCGTAATCAGATAAAAATAAGGGACAATGAGCCTTATCAATAATCTCGCTACACTGTCAAACACATGCCTGCATTTTGCTTTACGCATTACTATTACTCTGCGTAATTATCGCTGCGACAAGACTTTTTCATCGATTCGGAATCTCGTGAGAGTTATCGCCTTGAAAGGGAAACGTATATAAATGTCATTTGTCTAATATATCTACATAGAGGAGTCCTCTCTTATGAGATAGATTTCTAATATGAGATAGCAGGTCTTCAACACCCAAATTCAATCACAAATCTTTTTTCGCAACAATTACACAACCTAACAATGAATTTTCCACTAAACAGATTTCGCTCCAAGGGCAATAATAAAGAAATTTATGGTGGAATCAACTGATGACGCCTATTAATTAACAGACTTTAACAGACCCCGCTATCCCATATTAGGATTCTATCTCATAACAGGGGGCTTTCTTCCATATTATAATATATTGTAAACACATGTCATTTACATTTGACGCATGTTTCTAATATTATATTTTTCCTAATTATCGCGTAACAAGATCTTTTAATCAACTGCAATCTCGCAAATACGTATTTCCCGACTACGCCTATCGATAAGACTGTGAAATGTTGACAAATTCAAAGGGGGAACCCAACTTCTTCCGTTTTTAATCTTCCGATTCGATTAATCCATAAACCGATTGAAGAAACGATCAGTTAGTGTCACCCAAAGACGTCAAGAAACCACAGCCGGTCAAAAGATAACAGCCACTTTGAATCTCAGCGTGCGAGAGGATTCCAAGATTCGGCAAGTCGCGGACTGCGCTTACCTGAGCTGCGACTGGCTGTTGCTGCAGGTGTTGGAGTATCCCGAGTCCGACACCTTGGCGTTCTTCACGGATACCTCCTCCATTCTGAGTTCCTTCCAAAATACGATTTTCGAAAAAAAAAATTTAAATGAGCTCAAAAAACCACCCCTGTCTCTCACCACGCGCACGCACTCGCGTCGAGTTCGCGACTCATCTCTCCCTTCGCCCTTCGTGAATTCTGATCGCGGATCGGACAGGAAAATCAACGTCGGCGGAGAGGAGGAGAAGGACAGCGTTTGCCAATGTTTCGCTCGAAGTGCGCGAGGACGACGGACGAGTCTGACGTTCGCCGGCTTCCGCGCGTGGACTGACTCGCCGGCCCGGCTCTCTCGGCCTAGACTCGATCCTCGCCGCGATAAGTCGGCCGCACGTTCTGAGACACGTGAGCGCCAGGGCCACCCGCGCCCACGTCTCGCCGCGGCAACCTATATCGAAGTTGCCGCCGGTGCCCCTCGTTCGCCTTATCACGATCGACGGCGACCGGCGGCGATCGAATTAGGGCCGCACGTTGCGCCGACGACTCTGACCCTCTCGCTCGACCTTTCGCACTTCGAAATTTTGGAGCGACGGAAAAGTACATTTTTTTTATTTTTCAATCGATCGTCGACGCCCGAAGAAAAGAACGATCGAAATCCGGTTACGGGGCTATCGGTTTTTTTTATTGATATTGATGTACGCGCTGAGTTTTTGATAAGAGGCAAATTTAAAAAGAACCAGGAGTAGAAAGTTACTTTTTAAAAGTAACTAGTTACCGAGTAAAAAAATGTAACTCGTTATAGTTACTGATTTTTAAAAGCAACTAGTTATTGTTACCGGTTATTTAAAAAATAACGATTCGTTACTCTTTTCGTTTTTTGAATTCTGAAACGAGATAGACAAACTAAAACATCTACTTTTGTAATAGGTTTTTTACTACCAAACATAATAATAAAACAATTTTTTAATTTTGAAGTTGTAAAATCATGAAAAATTTAAGGAGATAAATTTTGAAACGCTCAAAATGTAAATAAAAAATTGTGATTTCTATGAAAAGTATAAGCATAGCTAAAGAGTTTTTATTGTACTCTCAATTTTTCGTTTTTAATGCAATAATTTTAAACTTATCTTAAATACAACAGCCCATGATAATAATAGATTATGAATATCGATCGATGCCTGAAGATTAAATGTAAGAAAATATAGTTACATTTTATAACTAGGTTCGAAATACAAAAATTAATGATAAAAGTGACTTAAATTCGTTACAGTTACTAAAAAAAAAAGTAACTACGTTACCGTTACTTACAAAAGAAAAAAGTAATGTTGTTACCAATCCGTTACCAAAAAAAGTACCTTGTAACGGCGTTACAATTAACGCGTTGCTTCCATACCCTGAAAAGAACTGAAAAGATAAGATATCGAAAAGCGTCGGCGCATCGTCGTTTTTACTACTGCGCGCCACCGATGTCTGACATCGCGGCCACTACTACTGCGAGTCGCCTGTATTTGGGTTTACCTGTACTACTGCCGTGATTGACTTGATACTTATAAACTATTTACTAGAGGGATCTTCGGGGGTGTGGCCACTCCGTACGATGGTCTACTAAACCATTGAGTGAGATACCACGCATCGCTCTAGAGTCGCGCTGCTAGTAAACTATTCCTACTTTATTCAGTAAAATAGGTAAGCAAGAAAGATTTTGAACGTGGATCTAGATAGCTCAGTTGGAAGAGCATTCGCCCGGTACATAGAAGATCCCAGGTTCAATTATTTAAATTTATTTCAAAACTACGCGCCGTATCTTTTAATTCCCCGACTAACTTGGAGTCGATTTTACCTTAGCAAAAAATGTCGAGGGAGAGCATCGGTTATTTTGTGATTCATGTCTTATTCGTATTAAATTATATTAATACTTCCAACAATATTTTATGTAATATTTACGTCTCGAATTAATATTCTTTTACTGATAAGAGTAAGCTGAAAATAACGAGAGGTTTAAAGGTAAAAAAAGGCGATAAAAAGTTAATCGCTACTTTATTTGTTCAATGGAGGCATGTATTCAAAGGTGAAGGTTTATCCTGGAAAAGTAAATCAATTCACGCGCAAATGACACAACCAGCAACTGTGCGAAAAATATAATAATTTAATTTATTATGTAAAACTTTTTACCTCGTATATACAATCTCGTAGAAACATTATAATAATCTTACGTCGCTAGAAGTATCACAGTCTTCAGGTACAGTGCTTCATGGAATCCTCGCGGTATCCTGAAAGCGAGAAGAACACACGTTAGATTATCAGGGAGCACCAGTTCGATCAGTATCAATTAGACAAAATCGTACAATTCACCATTCGGCGGTAAATGATAAAGAAAAAATCAAGTGAAAGAGTCGGTGTTTTTGGGGTTTATTGCGTATTTCATGTGTATTTGATATCACCAAAGAAAACAAGTCACAGTTACAGTCCTCTGGGACACCATACGGTACGGTCAATACAGTGGGAGTCTAACGCACGGTGGTACAAAAATGTGTGTCCATCATAAAACGTTCAATGTTGTGCGTCGATCACTGGGATGTGTGACGAGGTTGTCTGATTTCGTAATGATGGATATCGGGTATCGGTTTTGCCGGGGATTGGTCTTTTCTTTTTCTTTCTTTCTTTCACCGTAAGCGACAAACTTATGCTTCTTTCCTCTGCCTCGTGCTTCTAACCAGTCTACATGCCAGTACATTTCATTCGTTTCTACATCAATTGCTTCCAAAACAAGATTTGCCCCAATACCAATCAGATGTTAACGTCGACGTATGATATCGAGTACTAACTTGTGTTAGTATCGTATTCTTGTTTTTCTTTATAAAAATTTTCCTAGCTGTGTATTAAAACTGAAAAAGTATCACCGAAGTTCTCTCGACAAGTTAAATTTCAAACGAACAAATAAATCGTTCGTTCTCAATCAAAATGTTGTTTATATGTACCAAAACCTCTTTTGAAAAGTAAAAATTGCAGCTTAAATTGTTATTAAAAAATTTCACTGGTCATGTGCGTAAAAGACGCGATTTTACCAAATGTTTCACAATTTTATTGCAAAGCATCGATAAATTAAAATATCTCATTACAAACACGAGTTAAACGATATGACAAAAATAGATGGTATAATATATTTGATCAAACAATTTTATCTTATCACCGCAAGACAGAATAAAATTTCCATTGTCTCAATAATGCACTTGTTTTGGAATTAGTTTTCGGAATTAGTCCGCAATAATTTCAACTTATCGTAAAAGTTGTCAATGGAGTACAAATTACTTTCCTTCCTCTCTGCACGCAATATAACTATAAAAGAAAAGTACAGAAATTTAATCATAAATAAAAGGTCTCTTTGCTAAACCTAAGGCATAAGTTATACCTAAAAGCCTATGCGAACGGATAGTCCAAGTCGACGATTGTCCTCACGGACCTCTCACAGAGTCAGTTTAATGTTCGATTTAAAGAGACTTCTTGCTCAAACACTTCGAACAATTCACCGTTTGAAAGTATCAGTAATGAGAATAATTATAATTTCAGAAAAATGTGCAAAGCAAGAAATTAAAAGGGTCAATATTTACCCTTGCTCAGCACCCGCCAATCGACTTCCGTTTGACCTTGATATGGACTTTGACCACTAAGGAGGTCAAGGTCATTGCCCAGTCCCGTCGCTCATTGTTTGTTAAAAAGTTATGAAGAAAAGAAGTTTCATAAATGCTGTGTAGTTTGCGACCAGACATGATTTGGGTAGAGTTATATCTTAACGAAGTGGAGCCCTCCCGAAGGGGTGACGGAACATACTGTCTCCACGTATGTACTTTCGCCGTTGTACTGTTCCACGTGTGTTTGCGATTTTCATTCGGGTTCACGTGGAAAGTCGCAATATGTGGATAACCCATGTGGATCAGTACAACGGCGGAAGTACATGCGTGGAGACAGTATGAACTATTCGCGCGAGGCAAATTCCATCTCCGATCATCCTTTATATACAAAGCAAACCTATTTCCATCATCATAGGATTGCGCGTGGATCATTCCAACTTTCCAATGGTAGAGAATTACATAGCGTTTATGAAACTTCTTTTCTTCATAACTTTTTAACCAACAATGAGCGACGGAATTGAGCAATGGCGTTGACCTCCTTAGTGGTCAACATCAAGATGAAACGGAAGTCGATTGGCAGGTGCTAAGTAAGGGTAAATGCCATTAAAAGATTAGAGAAGGATAAAAATAAATATTAGCCGTGTATATGCGAGAACCAGTCGAGGAAACAAGTCGATCCGTGCACCTCGTCCATGTGTTCGCGCTTCGCTTCCTCCGAGCCTCACAAAGCCCGAAGAAAGGTGTACACTTTCCGTATTTTTGGATGTGAAGAAGGGCGCTCTTTATACAGGTGCAAAGCGAGCAAGCACTCAACGATATCGGCCGTTCGCACAGGCCTCTTAAAGTAACAGAAACACGGGTCGTCCGCGCGCGCAGCGTATCGTGTGTGAACGGACGTGTAAGAGGATAAAAAGTAACAGTAGTATAGTAGAGTAGCAGTTAAAGGTTTCAGTAACGTAGAGAGTTGCAGCTGCGCGAACGTAAGCGAACAGTTAAATATATATAGGTAGGTAGTTGGAGTAGTTTTCCCTGGATGCAGGCCCTTGATGTGGTCAAGTGAGTAGTAGTCTTTAAATTCGTCTCTTTTTGTTGCGTGCGTCCGGCTTGTGTATACCAGTCAGTCTGTGAAGACAAACAGCAAAAATTACATTTTCTCCTGCCGTTTTTTCCCCCCCTGCCCGAGGAGGAGGAAGAGGAGGAGGAGGTAGAAAGAGAGAGATAAAGAGATAAGAGAGAGAGAGAGAGAGAGAGAGAGAGAGAAAAAGAGAGAGTGATAGCGTCGGCAAAACAACGTCTCGGGGTGTACTACAACTATTACAGAGAAACGCCTTTCTTTTCCTTCGCGCCACACTAACGCTACTAGTCTACTACTTACGAGATACGCATTTTAATTAAAACACGTTTAGTTCTCGTCCTCGTCCATTCGTAATCGTTTCCGCCGGTCCTCGCCGACGTTTCGTTCCTCCGCCTCCAGCACCTTCAACCGCGAGCCACAGATCTCTTGACCGTGCAGGACCTAGGAGCGCATTTTGAATTTAGAAATCGGCGGGACGTGTCTCGAATGCGAATGCCCCTCTGCCGCCTGCGTGAGAAAAAGGGAAGCCGCCGTACCTCAATGGCCTCGTTCGCGCTACTGACGCTGGCGTATTTCGCGTACCCGCAATTCTTGCCGGGTAACATATATACATCTATAAGGTTGCCAAATCGACAGAACGCATCCTTCATGGCGTAGATAGGCGGCACCGGCGGGCCGCACACGATGAAACACCGCTTGGCGACCTCGGCGTCTATACTCGCCATCGGCTGCACCGGTGGCAGCTTCACGGATATGTGATCTAAGCCTGAAGTGAGAAATGCAGCTGAAACCTGGCGCAACGCGTCGCCTCCCCGCGCGCCGTATCGTCGCACGTTTTACTCACTCGGTGCCGTCAGACCCGCCGCTTGAATCAACGACGTAGCTTGAGCAATGGTCTCCGCCAAGTGCGCCAGGTCCGTCCTCGCGCTGGCGACGCTGCCCGCCGCGGAGCCGCCGGGCTTCGACGTGCTCTTGGGCGGCGCGCTCGTCAAGTCCGGCTTGACGATCATCCGATGCCCGGGCGGGTACTCGAAACCGTGGAACTTTTCGCGCGCGTACGCCGCCGCGCTCGGATTGTTGTACACCACCACGGCCTGTCCGCGCGGCATCCGGTATCTCACGTCCGTCTTCAAGTGGCAGAAGTCCAGCCCGGGCACTATGTCGAACAGCTTCCACAGCTGGTCCTGATTGAGGGCCGGGTGCGCGATCACCTGCAGACGCGTGTAGCCCTCCGAGTTGGAGTAGTTGGTGGCGATCTCTAGGCTGATGCTGCTCTTGCCGAAGTTGGAGGAGCCATAGCTGCCGCTGGTGCCGTCGTACGTGGCGCCGGACAGGCCGTTGTTGTACTTGGCGTCGTTGTGATCGGGCTTGGGCTTCTTCGGCTCGGCGAACACCGCCTTGTACTTCCTGTCGCACTCCTCGAACGCCCGCGCCGCGCTCGACACCTTCTTGAACTTGACGTAGCCGAAGCCCTTGGACTCGTTGGTCGACCGGTCCTTGACGACGGTCGCGTACTCGATCGCCCCGAACATGGAGAATTCCTGTTGCAGCTCGCTGTCACTCATTGTCTTCGGTAGGACACAGAACAAGCGCACCCACCTCTCCTCTTCGTTCGTCTCGCGCACGGAGCCCTGATCCCGGCTGCGAACAGTCGCCGGAAAGGAAACGCCGATTAGACACGGATATCAAACGAGGGGAGAGGGAGGAGAAAAAGTTAAATGACACTTGGCGTGGTTGGAGCTTACTTCGAGGCGATCATCACTTTGATCGGTCTGCCGACGGAGCCCAGCATCTTGCCGTTCATCTCCTCGAGCGCGAACGCCGCCTCCGACGTCTTGGAGAACTTGATGTACGTGACACCTGGGGGGCAAACGTCAACGGCATTAGGCGGGGGGGTCGGGCACCACGCCGGCGTGTGCGCCGGAAGGGAAAGGCACCCTTTCCCAGGGGGGGGGGGGGGATAAACGAGCGGCGTTAAGAGGGAAAAGCGGAACGTGCGTCGCGTATCGATCTTGGGCTGTTTACCCGCGCGGGCCAGCGGCGGCATCACCTTTATTCTCGCCCGTGTTACGATCCTTAACCACCCAGATGTCCTCGATCTTGCCGAACTTCTCGAACGCCTTCCTGAGGTCATCCTCCTCGAGGCTCTTGTGACAGATGACGAAGAGCCGCGAGTTCGGCGGATCGTCGTTCTTCGAGCGCAGATCCGTCTGCGAGTAATAAGAGTCTCGTTCCCTGTGGTCGGCCATCTTACAAATGGACGCGGAACGCTAACGCCGCTACGGCAAGCGCGGACCGTCTACCGCCGTCCGTCCGTCGTCCGCTCCGCGGGCCCTCGCGATCGCGCTACGCGCCGAGAGAGACGCGTCGGCCCGCCGGCGGAGGGGTGGCCCTCCCTCCGCCGTCTCCCTCTCCCTCCCCCCCCCCGGCGGATAATACGCGCGCGGCGGAGGAACAAAATTGCGAGCGGCCGATGCGCCATTTTTTTTTTAGCAAATGTTCAATTTTCATCCTCGCTCGTTCGCGCGAGACCACCGGTTTGATTCCCCGGCGAAGATATTTTCTCAACTTTCAACGTAAGTTTCGGAATTTTTCGCATTTCCTGTAAAGTTTCGCGTACGTTTTCAGATTTTTTTTTATACACAAATTGAAACACTTTTCAGAAGCACCGGGAAAGTTTCCCAGCGAACGCCAAAGCGACGGTATCCCAGATAGCAGGACGCGCTCCCGTGAACATTTGAAGAATGTTCTTCAAGAATATTTGGAATATTCCATAGGTCATTCTTATATATTTCTCCTATGTTCGTGGAACGTTCGAACTGGCACTACTATAAATCTTTTTCGAGCGTGAATAGAATAATCTATCGAATATGGCGTGTCGGTTATATATGGCGTGATCACAGGTTTCACTGCCTTTTGCATAAGATAAGTGTATTACACAATGAACAATGTGCAATACATAAACTCGACGAATATTCGAAAAAACGTTCTTCTTTGTTATGAGTATACGATTTCTAATTGGTTAACAATCAACCAGAAAATGAAAAACCGGGCCTAACAGAGGGAGGTAAATTAAAAGTTAAAAGTTGCCGATAAAACGCAGCTAAATTCAGTTAAAAGTTAACAGTCTATAATGTAACTAAATTAAGTTAAGATTATTTAACTTTTTTACTTAAACAACTAATTTTTAACTCGGTCCTTCAAGATATAAATCAATTTGAAACTTAAACGCCAGTTTAGGACCTGGCACAGGTGGAGGTGGCCAAGTAAATTTTTAACTTAACTTTTATCTTTTTAACTAGACACTACCCAACCCTGCTTCTATCTCAGGATGTTCACATATACGAAAAATTCTAAGAAAAGAAGCGGGCTTTCTTAGTATTTCTGAAAAGTGATAAAACGAAGACTTGTCATAATTTGAAGAAAAATACAGAATGCGTAAAATGGAGATCTCGATAAGTTTGGATCGATACTTCAGTACATTAGACAATGTTAAGTGACGGTATTGGCAAAACGCGAATTTTACGTCTTATTAGTCAACTTGTCGAGTTCTATCAGTCTTTTGTGTCTGTACGTAGTTTTGCAGATCTACAATAATTAATAATTCATACTTCTAAGCTACAAATTATTTGTCTTCTCCCGAGGAACGCTAGTATAAGAGAACATTGTTCGGTGGAAGAGCCAACTGAGAAAGGTCGAAGTACAGGTAATTTGCGGCGCCGACGTTGAAGAGAGAAACTTTCGAATGACTCCCCTGTAAAATTCAGGTCTTGTGATTCGACGCAATTTACCTCCGAGGCACTGATACGGTTCGTTGGTTGCAATCATGATTATAATGATGATGAGCGCTAGAAAAATGTACGACGGCTCACCGTGGAGGCCTACAAAAAATTAAATTTTACTTCTCTGTTCGTTACGATCATTAGAGAAGTTGAGGGGCAAACCTTGACGTATCTCGATAGGTCCATCAAACAGAGACAAAAGAGATACGTTCTCTTCGAACTGCGTGATATATCAGACCCGCGGAAACGAGACGGGTATGCATCTGAGATTTGGAGGAGAAAGAAGAAGGGAGGGAAAGAGAACCGTAAAAAAGTGCAGCCGGCTTGGACTCGCGTGCTCGCGCCTGACATTTAACATTAAACATGACATGGCGATTCGGAATTTTGTCTGCCTCGCGATCCCGGAGGGGAAGAGAGCCGCGCTCTCTAAAGTTCAAAGGGAAGACAGTCAATGGGAGAGTCGATCGCCGATTTTAACCGCCGGCGACCAAACGCGTTCCCGACGCGTTGCAAAACGAGATACGATCGGTGATTCTTGCATGGAGGTTTCTCTCCCTCGCGGAGTTGCGCGGCGAATTGCGATTCAACTATTTCCATCGTTCCTCCGTATTTTTGGAATTTAACGGACAAGTTCTCGCTGGCCGCGTTCAGCAGAAAAGGCTGCTTTGCAACTGTTGTAAAAATCCTGAATCCAATTGGCGCGTGCTCTTAATTATGGCGGAATCTAAGCGTATACTTCAATCAAATTTACGAATTTTCCGACTGTTGCAAAGCAGTTTTTTTTCTGCTGAACGCAGTCATTATTTACACCGCCGTGTCACATGCTTATGTAATCGAAATACAAATAAAAGTATAAGCGTGTAAATGCACGTAATCGCGTTTATGCTACTCGTATAGATACAAATTATTAGTTTTATTTGTATTTCAATATATGTATATAATATGTAAAATTATACCCCGAGCACATTATGCGCATACACGCGCGCGACCTCGTCGTTAAATAAAAATGTGGCTAATAATATATTCCCTGCAAAAAAGCGCGCCGTGTCAAAGGAAGACTCGAGGTCAACCGGCCGTGTTCAAAAACAAAAACTACCGTGTTAAAAAAAGATTGCGTATATTTAGACTGCGAATTAATAATTCATTGAATCGTGAGTCAGTTGAAGCGTCGAGGCGCGGTAATCATTTCGACGTAGGTTTCGCGAAGGCGCGAGCAGCGTTATCGCGCAACGACGACGACGACGAGGCTCCACGGTCTCGAAGCCGGCTGCGAATTTCCCCGTCGCTCGAAATCGGCGTTACGCCCGAGAGCGCGCGCGCGAAAAATCGGTTTGCGCAAAACTCGCATCCCGAGAGCTGCCCGCGCCGCCGTTTTGCAAGCCGACGGGGAAAACGTCGGCGGAACGATTGAAAGTGTCATGCTCCAATATTTTCGCGTGCGCGCGTTACTCTCCGCAGGAAGAGAAATGCGGTAATGACGAGCCCGCAGCCGCGGCATAATCGGCGTTTCACTAGCCGCGAGCCCCGCGCGTCTCTCCCCGTTCTCTCTCTCTCTCTCGCCATCTCCCCCATCTCCGTGATTCCCGCGTCGTTCTCCGAGAGACGCGCCCGCCGGCGGTTCCGCCTCGTGTCACCTGAATGGTCAATGAAAGAGGGACAGAGTCCGCGAGCGCTGTGTTTGCTCGACTCGACGATGCATAATTTCGCTAAGTCGTATACGAGTCGCTCGCTACGCCGACGACTACAACCAGGCGACGTAACTCTTGCCGGTTTACGTAACTTCTCCCTACTTCTCCAAATCGTCGTTTCCTAAAATACACGTACAACCCGCGTGGAACGTGCGTCGCGCGCGTACGAAAGTCGTAATCTCCACGGGAAATAAACGTCGCACTTGGCGACGTAAGAGTATTCTACGGGGAAATCTCTAGAAAAAAAAGAAGATGTCTTATTTATTCTCATTCGTATACGTATATTTCTTTCCGCTAAACTTTCACGTATATGATTGCTAGTATCTATTAAAATATATACCTCTCTTTTATCACAGGCCCCTCCGATCTTTTCTATTTTTACGCTTATTTATGAAAATATACGTTTGTCAAGTCGAAAATCGAAATCGAAAACTATCTGAAATGAGAGAATGCAAAATACCTTTTATTGACAATGTTTCGTCGTATGCGATTTCTTTCAATTATAGGACATTGTCATGCCAAGCCGTTTCTTCGTCATGTCATAGCCACGTAACTGTTACTTTAAATTATTACAAGTGGCAATTAATTATGTGTATCTATCACACTGCGCATTGTCGCATTTTTTAGCTATTAGTTTGCACATTATCGGTCGATGCGCCTCGTGAGTTTACGCGTCGTACGTGGAAGCGGATATTTTCCCGCCGTGTCCGGTCCAATTCGTGTGAACGAACTTGCCCTCCTGACCGAGCAGCTCGTACGTGTGAGCGCCGAAGTAATCCCGTTGGGCCTGCAGCAGATTCGCCGGTAGGCAGGCGGTCCTGAATCCGTCGTAGAAGGCCAGGGCCGTCGACAGGGCAGGAGTCGGTATACCAATCGTCACGGCGATGCTCACCACTATCCTAGCACTCCGGTGGCAATCGTCCATGGCCTTGGCGAAGAAGTCGTCCAGCAGTAGGTTGGACAACTTCGGATTTTTGTCATACGCCGATTTTATGTTTCCCAGGAATGCGCTGCAAGGAAGTCACACGAATACTCAAGTACAATGACAAGGGACATCCTTGCGGATGCTTTGACGCGCAATCTAGTTAGTGTTCGCGACGTTAGTTAGACACTTTTGTTATGTACGGTCATGGCCAGAAAGGTTGTTCGAGATATTCCTATGTTTCATCGCAAAGATATTCGTACACAACATTTATTTGCTCTAATAATGCATCACTGCGCACACCCGTGAGTAAAAGCTCTAATCTCTCGCATAATAGACTGGACTTCCGAAATTTCATCGTAAAACGTTGGACAGCCTATCTGACCACGACTGTACGTTATAATTTAATTTTGTCTATTTAGTTTAATTTTACATTTGATCAATGAAGCATTAACGATAACGTAATTATACTACGTTTTTATCTATCCTCGTGTACACCACGTTTTTATACAAAGCGAACGATAACTCACTTAACCGGCATATAAAAAAAACCGAGAGCTCTTTACAAGTTTCCCGTGTGCGACACTAGATATAAAATGCCCCCGAGAAACATTCTACAGCCTTGACACTTATATTTCTTTGCCACGCGCTTTAAAAGGAGATGTAGGTCGATCGTGAAAAGGATTGACGTGGCGCTGACGTAACTAGACGAATTTGAGAGCCGTATGAAGCTCTCGCACCAAGTTTAAGGCCGTCCTACCTCCTTATGATACATCCACCCCGCCACATCAACGCTATTCCACCGTAATTCAGGTTCCAGTTGTGGACCTTGGCGGCTTCTCTCAACAGCATGAAGCCTTGCGCGTACGAGATAATTTTCGCGGTGTACAGAGCCTTCCTCAGATTCTTGAGGAACTCTTGCTTGTCGCCCTGGTACAACAGGTCCGGGCCCGACAGGACCTCGCTCGCCTCCACGCGCTCGCTCTTCAGCGCGGACAGGCATCGGGAGAAGACCGACTCGCCGATCAGCGTGACCGGCACGCCGTAATCCAGCGCGGCGACCGCCGTCCACTTGCCGGTGCCCTTCTGGCCGGCGGTGTCCCGGATTCGCTGGAGCAGGTAGCCCCCCTCGTCCTGGTACTTGAGGATGTCGCGCGTGATCTCGATCAGAAACGAATTCAGCTCGCCCTTGTTCCACTCGTCGAACACCGCGCTCATCTCCTCCTGCGTGAGCCGCATGCCACTTCGCATCAGGTGATAAGCCTCGCAGATGATCTGCATGTCGCCGTACTCGATGCCGTTGTGCACCATCTTGACGAAGTGTCCCGCGCCGGTCTCGCCCACCCAGTCGCAGCACGGCTCGCCGTCAGCTTTCGCGCATATCGACTGAAAGGCATTGCGATTTTACAGACCGTGCGTTTCTCGTAACTTCTCGATAGACAATGATAGGTTGGCGTGTTGCCGTACTTGGAAGATAGGTTTGATATGCGGCCACGCTTTGGGATTACCGCCGGGCATCAAGGAGGGTCCGTGTCTCGCGCCGTCCTCTCCCCCGCTGACTCCGCTGCCGACGAAGAGAATCCCTTTCCGTTCGAGATCCTTGGTGCGTCTCTCGGTGTCTTGATACTCCGAGTTGCCACCGTCGATGATAATGTCCCCGGGAGAGAGAAGGGGCACCAATTGCTCGATAAAGGCGTCCACTGCTGCGCCAGCTATTGACAAAAGTAAATTGTATTATTATCATAGTTGTGGACCTTTAATCTCGGTAATGAGGGGAAGAGCTTGCCTTTGACCAGCATCATCACTTTCCTCGGGCTCTTCAACGTGCCGACCATCTCCTTCAGACTGTAAGCGCCGATAACATTCGTGCCCTTGGCTTCGTTCTCGAGAAAAGCCTTGACTTTGTCCACCGTGCGGTTGTACGCGCACACGACGAAACCGTGATCGTTCATGTTTAGAATTAGATTCTGCCCCATGACCGCCAGGCCGATGAGGGCGATATCCGCCACCCTGGAAAGCATGAAGAATTCATGCAAAATCGAGCAGAAGAAAAACCAAATCCCACCTTCTTCTCTTCGCATCCACGTGTACTGTTATATTCGCTATTAGACATGTCATTTACAAATGACAGATCATGCATGGTTTCTGCTAGCGTCTCTGCCCTGAAGAAACTTGATGCAAATGTGGAGAAGGAATACTCACGGGGTGCTCATGTCTGTGGACGGATCGTAGAGAAATCTGGCTGGATATATTCGCGAGACTTGCCGCAACGAATGTCGCGGGAGCAACAAGCAACAAGTGGTCGAGTCAAAGCTCTCGCGTCGTCGAAGGACGTGCCGGTTCGAGCGACGTGCCCGACAGGCTCGACAGCGTCAGCCGACGTGCTATAAGCCAATCGCGTTGCGCTACGCGCGAGAACACGTCGACCATTGCAGAATGCAGACCGTCTTGTGAGATAACGATGATGCAGCATTAACACGCACGCCGCTGCGACACGGACGACTTATCTAATCTGCGGTTTCGTAGTCGCATGCCGAACGTTCCTCAGGAACATTTCAAGTGTGTGAACAATAGTCGAAATGTAACAGAATGTTTCGTTCCAAAGCAGCAAAAATAATCCTCCACTGTAATAGTCTTACCTATCTCTCAAATTTCCTTGTATTTTTGGAAAAATTCTTGAAAATGCTGAAAAATTCTTGGAAATTTAGATAGTGCCACCTCTTTGCTGGTCATGTTCTCCTGATACTTTGCCAGTTTTCGCGATTTGAAGTCTGAAATTCTCGGAATTCCAAATCTTGAAAATACTGAAAAATTCTTGGAATTGTAAATAGTGCCACTTCTTTGCTGATCATGTTCTCTTGATACTTTGCCAGTTTTCTCGATTCTCGATTTTCGCGATTTGAATTTGGAAATTCTCGGAAATCCAATTCTTGGAATTTTTGATAGTGCCACCTCTTTGCT